CGTCCGCGAGTCAGGGCCCTGCCCCGAGAAGGTACAAGGTGGAGGTCCCCGACTGGGGGGAGAACGTGGCGCGGAGGTGGCAGCAAAGGGTTAATCACGGTGGCGCCGGAGGTGGTGGGGGGGATGCATCTGGGCGAAGGGGGAGCCCACGGTGGCAGGGGCGCCTCTCCCTTTCCCCTTGGAATGGGGTGCTGGGGGGCAGGAAAATCCACCATTTCCGAACTTTTCCTCTCCCTGCATTGAGCAGAGCTCCCTGCCTGGCACCTTGGGTGCTTCCCCCTCCTCCAGCTCCGGCAGAGCTTCCCTGGCGCCTTGGGTGCTTCCCGCTCCGGTGGAGCTTGGGGATGGCCCCACGGTCCCAGCGCTCCAGCTGCCAGAGCAGGGGGAAGCGATGGAGCTGGGGAGCCATTGGGGGCTGGCCTGGCGCTAACCACAACGGTGATGAGCTGCTCAAGTCTCAATGCTGAGCTCCCGGTGTCCGCGGGCTCCGGGAACGCGGAGAGCAGGTAGGGCTCTTGCTCAGGGTGAAAGCAGAACCCGTGGCAGCACATGGGTCTCATGGGGGCTTCCCATGGCTTTAGTGCTCCTATCCATGGGACTGCTCACTCTCTGGGATGGACATGGGCCCCGTCCCTCATGCCACCGCAGCAGCAAGAGCAGCCTTTGCCTTTTGGGAAGTGGGACCAGGCACCAGAGGAGCATCCGCTGCCACTCTGGCAGGGTCTACCCGCGTGGATGCCACCGATGCGTATCAAGAAACCCTGACACGAGCCGGCTTTGCTCAGAGCCCCTCAGAGCAGCACCTTCCTTAGCAGGACTGCGTGGATTGAGCCCAGAGAGGAGCCCCCCGGCGCTCCCAATCACCCCGAATGAAGCACGCGGACCAGCAGCGCGATCGTCCTCTCCTCTCACCGCTCGCCAGCCGCACTGGCCCACAGGGCATCTGCGGAGCTGAGCCGCGGCTCCTTCCCCTCTGCTCTGTTTCTTTTTTTCTGTAATTGGTTTTATTCTGCACTCTCCTCCAAAACAGCTCGAGCTGCGCGGCACTGCCTGGGTACAGGCACAGCCTGGAGCCTCCCCAAATCTGCTGGCCTCTGACTGCGGAAAACTGCTGCCGGAGTCGGGCACGAGCGAGCCCTGGCCCCGTGCCCACCTCCCGGTTATCGCTGCCTCTGTCCCACTCCCGGCATTGGGAGCCTTTCCCTGGCTCTTCTGTCTCCCGCGGGTTGGCTGCAAACCCAGGAGAGCAAGGGAGCGAGGAGGAGGAGGTGGAGGAAGCAGGGAGCCCTTTTGTTTCGCCATGACCTTGTTATCTCCCCAGCTGACAGATGATCCTGTGGGCCCGGGGCTTGCGCTTATCTGCCCTGCTACAGATTGAGTCATTTTACTTATCTGCTGCTGTGTAATTGAATATTAATTCAAAACTGTTCTTTATTATTGTTTGTTCTTCCAAGCAGGGACAAAGATGGAGTTGGCCTCTTTGTTTCTTCTGATGTTTAAGTCTTTTTGTTTTAATGCAGAAAAGAGTTTTGGGTGAGAAATTATGCTGAGAAAAACCGTAGCAATGTGCAGCATATGGGCTCTTCCAAAGGACTCAGGTTTTTGTGGCTTGGAGTGGTGCGACTTTGGCACGTGGGTATTTTACCCCTTGGGAGGCAACTGTTCCCCATTCCTCTAAGGAGAGGTGCTAGGAAGGCTCTGTGGCTCTTCCTTTGTGTTTGTGCCTCACAGCAGCGCTAATTCTGTGTCCGAATGGATCCTAAACAAAAATGTGAATAAATAAAACTCTAAAAACAGAGCCAAACTGTCCCTGCTGCTTCGCGTGCTGGCCCTTGAATCAAACCTTTCCTGGCTCCTGGCAAACACAGCAACGTGCCAGCCTGCTCCTCATACAAAAACCCCAAATCCTTGCTCTTCCTCCCTAAACCTCCTATGGTCCCGTCATCCATCTCTCCAGTTATTTCACCAACACTCTACTGAACTAAAGGGCAGAGGGAGCGGAGCTGAAGGATGGGTTTAATTTCTGCTGTCTGGTGCTGCTCTGACACCTCCACGAGAGATGACAGATGCTTTTCCAGAGGATGAGCCGAGCCTGTCAAAAAGAGTTGGGCACATCCAGAGATAAAAATGAGTGAAATTCACCCTGGGCAGGGTGCAGGTGGGAAGGGAAAACACAGTTTACTTGTCATCCCAGTATCTAAATACCTTGACTTTACCTGTCCATCCCTACATGCATCCACTCTGCACTCACCACCGCCCCAGCCCAGCCCTTACATTTCTCACTTATTAGACACTGCAGAGATGAGATTTGAGGCCTGTACTCATCTCAGTACCCGGCTGAGATCCTCCCAGCTCATGACACTTGTTCTTTCCACCCCCTCCGGTGTTGAGCAGGCCGGTGGGGATGCCTCACTTCTCCATTAGCACTTTGACAGAGTGAGAGACTTCCGCGCAGCTGAGGACTGTTCCCCCGCTGCCCTCTCATTGCTGCAAGAGAAGCAAGGAGCGAGAGAGACAAATCAGTCATTCCTCCCTATTGTATTGTTAATGCTCAAATTTATTTTTAATCGACTTTACGCACAAGCAATACCCAATCTGCAAGGCAACAGGTGCCTGTGGATTTCAAACTCCATGCTCGTCTGGGAGCGTACCAGGGATTCTGTGAGAAAACAATTAGAAAACAGGGCTGCAGGCGAACACCCGGGACGCTTCACACATCTCGACAGCACCGGCTCCGCAGCATGCAGAGGGGCCACCACAGCCACGGCACGTGCAGGATGCGCCAGCCCAAGAGCCTGGTGGTGGTGGGGCCCCCTGCACAACCTCCACAAGGGTGGAGGTCTCCAGAGCGCAACAGGCGCCACCAGGAGCCTTCACGGACCGAG